CAAATAAAATCAATTATCATAAGTATGATTGGCATTTCATTATAATATGATGTTACAATACCGTTAGGTTTCTAACTTCGGCTTATGTGGATTGAACCAAACAACAGTGGTAGGGTCTTGAGCAATCAAATTTGATTTATGACATTTGTACATTAATTTTTCAGAAAATGGCAATCAAGAACTCTCTAAGAATATTAATGACAATTATAAACATAAATTATTGAAATTTCAATTAAAAAGAATTGTGATCCTTACTTACAATTAAAAAAAGCAAATAGACAGTTGGGAAATGGAAATCAATAAAATACACTTTGAATCACTTATAACGTTAGTTGAAAATTTACAAGAATTTCTTGTAAATCTTAATTTTTTATTGTCAATATACAAATAAATCACTTGAAAAATTAAGAAAATACATTTAAAATTATTTAAAATGTTAGTTGGAAATTCACAGGAGCTAATTATAGATCGAAAGCCAATAACTTTTTTTTGCTGTCATATAAATAAGTCGCTTGGAAAATATACAAAATGCACTTGAAATTATTTGTAATATTAGTTAAAAATTTATGAGAATTAATTATGAATAAAAAAATCAATCACTTGTAATTTTTTCATTATCATTTGAAAAATTATCAGGAGATATTGGGGAATCTTTATAGTGTTAATAGAGAATTTACAAAAGTCATCTATAAATATCAAGCATATCAACAAAACATAATTTATTGTAAATAAGAACATAGTCTCTTATTGGAATTTTAATAATTTATTATCTATAATTATCATTAATATTCTTATCAAACCTCTAATTATCATTTACCCTTAATTTTATGGGTTTTGAGTTGAGAGTGTGCCAATGTTTTGATGCACTGTGTATTCAGGAAGTGATGTGCTTGGGGGTTTAGGAAATTCGACGATAGAGCTAGTATGATGTTTGAAGTTTGATGAGTTCTTAGTTGATGATATTTTTTTAAAATATACAGGTTGATATTATTAATTAAATTAAATGCTTCATATTGATTTACAAAAGGTTCTTGAACATATTTGACAAACTAATTTTATACAGGTTTATTTCAATTTACTTTACAGTTTATGCATATTTCAGGATATGTTTTGCAAAATGGACCCAATTTTTAGCTATATATTAATTCACTAAAGTGAAGCTTAATTATTGTTCATTGACCCAAAAAGGTATGCTTATTGTTTAGAGGTTTTGAAACTAAGATGTTATTGGTAACCCAAAAAAAAAAGTGCATTATACAAAGGGAAGACTGGATTATATGAATAAAAAGTTGATTAAAAGAATTACAAGAATAAAATTGTAATTAAAAAAATATTACAAGAATAATAGTTTGGAAAAATTTACTGTTTTTATTTCCCTTCTTCAACCAACTTTACTTGGGCTTTTGGCATCACCGAAGCAAAATTAAGAGTTGTTTGTTTTTAGTTTTTAAAAACTATTTTCTCTTTTTAAAAATAAAAAATTTAAATACTTGTTTGAAAAAGTGTTTTTTATTAATTATTTTAAAAAAATTTTTTTAAACCAAAAAATAAAAACAACCTCGAGTTCTTTTTATTTTATTTTTCTTATTTTTAAACTATATTATATTTAATTATTAAAAATTACAGTTACCTTTATCAATTTTTATTATAAATTATTATCATTAACTACTTATAACTATTAATATTAGTATATTTTTTAATTTTAAAATTAATATAATTAAACAGATTTTCATTTTATTTTATTTTAAAAAAATTAAAAATTATATTACAAAATAGGAGAATAGGAGTAGAGAAGAGAACACAAAAAACACCTTGAGACTCCCATAAACTCCACTTATCATTAGCTTTTAGCCTTAGTTTACCTTCTAGTTTAGTTTAATTTATCAATTTACCCATTGTAATTTCATGTCCATGCACATTATTCAATCAAGCTTGTTCCATTTTATTAATAAAATGGATAAATTGATAAGTTAAACTAAACTGAAAGGTAAATTAAGGCTAAAAGCTAATGATCAATGGAGTTTGTGAGAGTTTCAAGGTGTTTTTTATGTTCTCTTCTTTGCTATTGTTCTCCTATTTATAGTGTGTACAAGCTGTGTTGGCTATTTGTAATTGCCAGCCTGTGTTCCCAAAATATCCACGAGTAAAGGTCACAATCTCACAAGAGTTGAGGCTTGTTTGGATCATGGTCTTGTATAAGGTTATGGTCTCGCTAGTAGTTTCGAGTCTTCAAGGATTCAAGGACTTATGCTTACTTAGTCAGGCCATTTTACCATTACGTGTATAGGACTTATTATTGTTAGATCCTTTGTTGGGCCTAACGCTTCACTCACTTAACCTAATTGTTGCTATAACCGTTGCGACTTTTTGAATAGGTGTTGTTGTAGCTTTAGCCCAAATAATGCTTCCAGCGTGCTAGTGGCTAGTAACTATAAGCCACGTGGCACGATTGAGCAGTCATTTCATCATCGTTCCATTGCTCTGTGCCTTCTAGAAAATATAAATTTCTCCCTCTCCCTTTTATTAGTTCCTCTTGTTCATTTTATCATTTCTTCAACCTCAAGCCTTCGTCCTTCCTTGCCTTCATTGCTTTATTTCAACAATGGCCTCTTCCTTTATTGCTACCTCTACTTTTGCTGCCGCTACCACTTCCAATGTTGCTCATGCCAATGTTCCTACAGCTACCTTACCTAAATCTTTGCCTACGACTCGGAATCCCATTGGCCGTCCAAGGAGTGCTTTGTCTTGTATTCGTTCTTTCTCGGTTTGTGCTTTTGGCCTAACATTCTTTCTTTCTCAAGCTTTGTCGTCCATGGTTCCTCAAATGTGTTAATTTCTAAAAAAGTTCGTCCCTTAGGTCAAATTTCTTGATTTCTTGTGGGTTTATACTGATTAAGTTTTGTCCTTTCTCTCTAGCGTTATTCCATGGAGTTTCCAACTAGCCAATTCGAGCAATGTGGGGTATTTGCCTATAGCCCAGGAGCTATCAAAAGTAAAGGATCCTACTCTACCGAACCTGTGGTGCTTAACCTCAGCATGAGATCTTGTACTAGCCCGAGAGACCTTACCCTTCACTGAGCCATCATGTAATGCAACTACCACAAAAATAAAATTGTAAAATTAATGCCCATTGATTATATGGCATTTTTGGCCAACTAATTCACATATTATTTAGCTTCCTAAAACAAATGGTTATATGGTAAGTGGAAACTTCAAGTATTACTACCTAGTAAGAAATAATTGGTCGAAAAAAGAAGAAATTTTTACATAAACCTAGTACATTATGTTATTTGTATATTATCCAACAAACTCCTGTCATGTCAGATGTCTTTAAACATAAATTAATTATGCCATTGACAATGATAAAGAGATAAAATGAAAGAAATTAAAGAAGCACTTTATTTCAAAAATAAAGTCATTAAAATAGTGACACACAAGATGCACTTGATATGTTCATGCAAGAATTTCTATCAAAATAAATATAAAATACTAAATATCTTCAAGAAACAGAAAATAACCACTTTAAGCACTTTTACCTATCAAAAGAATTATCATATCTAACTGTCTAAAAAGACCCACAATTAATCAAACAGGTTGAAGCCCATGTCATCATTAGATTCTTCAGCTGGCTCTTCCTTCTTTTCCTCTCCACCAGCAACCGGGGCAGCACTTGAATCAACAAGAGCAGCCACAACAGCAAGAAAACTTACTAGGATCCTGTAATTGACACAAAAAAGAATTAGTAGAGATCAATTTTATTTATATGTCATTTTTAATGTATTTTATCAAAACTAAAAAAGAGCCTAAAATTCATTAATTCTGTCTAAAAAATTTGATAAATTTTCAACTTTTCTCTTATTAAAAAGTATATATATATATATTAATAATATATTTTCTCTTACTAACATTTAATAAGAATAAAAAAAACATTATAATATAGATAAAAAAAATATTTTTAAAATGTTTTGAGTATTCAAGCCAATCTGAATAAACTCGAAACCTAAAGGTATTAGGGTTGAGCTTGGTTATATAAGCTTTTTAAAAAAAATAATATACTTTAAACTTAATTTAAATAAGCTCACCTTGCCTGAACTATCAATTGTAGGTTATAGATGTTTTGCAGTCAATAATGCCAGGAAGGTATTTTTCTTATAATTTCAAATAAGGGCATATATTTTGTAATTGGATATCACAATTTTTTTTTAATAACATTTGGAGACGTTGGGACTACATTGTTAATTCTTGTTTTCATGGAACTTCGTGGTAATTTAGGTTTTCTTGTAGGGCCTATTGTAATTTTACCCCTATTTTCTTTCCTTCTATGCTTTTGTTTTTATGGAAAATAAGGCCAACATATTGTGTGCATTTAGTTTTTAATTTATTAAAAGTTCATTTGATAAAAGTTCATTTAATAAAAGTCAATTTAGTGAAAGTCAGTTGTTATAATAAAATTTGTGTTTGGATATATTTTTTCAAAAGTTAGTTTTATACACTAAAAGTTATTTGGTTTGTGATAGTGAGATATGCTTTTAAATATATAATTATAAAAAAAGATATTGATTTATGATAATTTACAATTTTTATTATACAAATGTAATATATTTGAAATATATACAAATATAATATATTTAAAATATTTAAAAAATATGATAAATATTTTAAATAACATAAATTTTGATCTATAATGTTAAAAATTTGATCTCTAGTTATTTGTGTTTTTTAAATTTATAATTTTAAAAAATGTAATAAAAATACATTAATGCTAAAACTTAACATGATTAATTATTTAATTTATAATGCTAAAAAAATTGATACCTAATTATTATTAATAAAATAATAATTATATTTTTAATAAATTAATTATTTTTTTAAATAAAAAATAGACGATTAAACTTGAATAATATAGTTGAATAATATCTTATTTTTTAAAAATTTTAAATAGTTGTTTTTATCTAAACAACTGCTAAGTTTTTAACAATAAAATTTTGGTTTCTGAACAAACGGAAGAAAACCAAATTCGTTTCCCCCATCAGCTTTTGTTCCCAATTGCAAACCCACTCTTCAGTCACCGCACCATAGAACATCGAAGACCTCCTTTTATCTTCGTCGTCATCCTCGGCAGTAGTAGGCACCAGCGGAGCTCCGTCAGCCACCGCCGATCACCCAGGTTCCATTCTTCTTTTCCACATCGCCTTGTTTTTCTTTTCTTTTGTTTTTGTTTTGCCCTTCTTTTCCTGTTCCCGTCTTCCATATTTCGTTTCGGGTCTCTCTCCCTCGCGATTTCTCTAGAAAGTTGAGCTTTCTAGTGGCCTTGAGTTCTGTTGAAACTTGGAACTTTACTGCTGTAGATTGAAGATGGATGACTCCCCCCAGAGTTCTCGATTTCCGTTGAAAATGAAACTTGAAACTTTGCTGTTGAAGATTGAAACTTTGCTCTCGGTTTCTTTCCTCTTTGTGTAAATTTCATAGTCAAACAAGAGTTTGAGATGGTTAATCTTTGTTGCTGCTGCTATGTAATTGATTTGAGATAGTTTATCTTGTTGCTTGATAGTAATTTAGTTTGGTTATTGGGTTTCATTCTGTTTTGAGTCATGAAATATGCTAAATCTTGTGTTGAACTTTGACTATTATATATGGGGTTGTTTATGTGTTGTAAACCTGTATGAAATTGGGGTGTTAGATGGTGTCATGTTTTAAATGCCAAAACTTGAAGATCTTCTGTTGAATCGTGGACTTTTATTTTATTTTATTTTAATTATGATTGCCATGGTGAAGCTAGATAGGAATTTGCTATATCTTGCAGATCGAAAGATTACAGGAGATATGTCTATTTCTAATTTGTTCCTTTTCATGCCCAGATTTATTAATATATTGCTTTATGCTTTATAGTTAGATAGCCTTTCTGATTTTTCTAAATAGTAGAACAAAGCATCGCTTATTTGACAAATTATGACGGAAGTTCTAGTATTTTCTTTGTCGACACTTTCATATCAGGAACTACAATTATAGAAAAAACTGGGGAAGCCTTGAAGGTGACACTTTCATATAGGATGACCTGTTTATCCTGGGATTGAACCATAACTCTTCCTTAGTCTCATGACTTTTGGTGCATCCTGTTGATACTTGATTATTGATTTTCATTGTTGATTGGCTGGTGGTTTAATTTTGGTATGTAAAGTTTGAGATTATCCATTTGTGAAGCTGAAAGAAGCGTCTATATTTAAGATTTCATAGAGGAAACTAAATACACACGCTTAATTGTCCCTAGAAAGACACATGCTCAAGACAAGAAGGAAACATGATTAAGCATTTGGGGCTTTATGAATAGCATTAAGTTATTTGTTGTCAGATCTTTTGAATAATTTTTATTCAGATTATGTTTTGCCATTGCACTCTCCCTCACTCTTTCTCCCTCCCTTTATCCCTGTCATTCTGACTCTTTTTCCTTAACCCTCCCCCTTTCCTCCCTTGTTCTACATCACAAAGTCAGAAAGTTGAAAACTTGTATTTGTTTTAATTAAAATGACCCACAATATGTTGTCCCAATTGAAAGAAATGCATCCTTCAGGCTTACTAAAACACTTTCCCAAGCAACAGTTTTAAACCTATATTTTCCATGAGTTGCAACCATGCAACCATTATATTGGCCAAGCAGCATTCCCCTACCTTTGTGCATTGCCTTAGTCTCTGTTTGTTTTGTCCGGCAGCAACCTTCTGGACATGGTGGGCTGGTGACTTGGCAAGAATAAGTTACAGACATTCAGAGTTCTGCCCCTCAAACAGTTTACAGTTTGAGCATGTTTTTTATTGTACAATATTTATATGATATATTCCATACTTATTTTCAATATCTTTTTTACTTGCATGATTTTGTTTGATTTATGATTTATGAAATAAATTAGCCTTCTGATCCACAATTTGAATTGTGACTTGATTCCTATGATTAAAACAATTTATGTGATTTCGAAGTTGTATGAGTTTGTAGATTTTTGTTTCCACTAAGTAAATATTATATACAGCATCTTATAATCCCAATATTTTATCTATGCAACATCTTAGCTGATTCTATTTCTACTTACTCTCAATCATAACAACCTTGCTCCTAATATTTTTTTTCTCATTTGTCTTCACATGCTCATTTAAGATTTTTTAAATGCTTGGATGATGATTGGTATCTTAAATGGAGTGCGACTTTGAACTCTTGTCTTCTAGAAATAATCTGACTGGTGTGCTTATCAGGTTGGCTGGTTGGATTTTACTGTTTTTTCCAATCAAAGTATTGTTTTCTTTGATTACTGGTCATTGGTTTTATTGATTTTTCATGATTTTGATTTATGCGATGAGAAAGTTTTGCTATGAAAAAATTTCTTGAAGAGATTGTATTATTGAACGGGAAACACTTGCACTGCTGGTTGTTTGCAAGTTAGAAGCATATTTTGTTACATCAATTGTGATTATCATTTGGTAGGTGTCATTCGTCACAGCCTAGAGTATGGCCAAAACAAAAATCATGGCCTAGAGTAATGAGCTGATGGATATAGGATACTGTGCATCTTTTATATTGATCAGATCTCTGGCATACGCCTATGACACCTTATTGATATGATTGGAGAGATTAATAATTGAGGTTTCTGAAACTTCTATATGGTCTTTTGGAAATGATTTCTTTACTCTTTGTGGGAATGTTTTTTGTATAGATATTTATGCCATACTCTACATGTTCTATTATTGTGGACTGCATTGCAAGAAGTGAGTCACTGCTATATGCTGCATTAAAACTAAAGAAGGGGGGGGGGGGAAGAAAACTATTTCCTTTTCTAGTGTATCCGAGTTTCATTTTTATTTTCGTATATCCTTTTCCTTCCCCTAATGATTTTTTTCCCCTTCTATTTGCATAGAACAATGGCCAGTAGTGATGCCGAGGCCAGTACTCTAACTGCTGCAGATACTTTATCCATGGCCAGTGGCAAGGAACCAGTTAATGAGCAAGTGATCGCAAATTTGTATGCTTCTATGAGAACTGAACTCAATCGAATTTACTCAAAAATCACTGAACTCGAAATGGAGGTTAGCGAGCACTCACTGGTTATCAATGCCATTCAGCCACTGGATCCATCCAGACGATGCTATCGCATGATCGGAGGGGTGCTGGTGGAGAGAACTATCAAAGAGGTTCTGCCCGCCGTGCAGCGCAACAAGGAAGGCCTTGAAGAGGTTATTGCCAGGCTTAACGAGACATTGGAAAAGAAGAAAAAGGAAATTGCTCAGTTTGAGGCTAAATATAAAATCAGAATAAGAAAGCCAGACCAAGAAGAGAAAGACGACGGTAGCCGGAAAGAAGGCTCTGCACAAGGAGTTCTTGTAGGCCCTGCTGGTGCAAGTGATTAAAATTTTTTTCCATTGTAGTTAGCCGGGTGCCAGCAATCTGAATGTTTGGTTTTTAAGATCACTCTGAGTACGACTTGGTAATTTTGGTTGCTTGAATCTCAACTAGACTGTTCGTGTCTTTTTATTTGAGAGAATCTTCTTAAGTGGGAAATTGCCAAACACATACTCAATGCTTGTTAATCTGCTAGTGCTCCATATATGTATACTCTTTGTTTCATAGTAGAGGGAGATCGTACTTGTTTAGTTTATGTTCACCATGATATTTAGATTTTCTTAGCCCATATCTGCCATGTGATCCTTTTGTTGGTCAATTTTAGTGTCACTGTTATTTTGAGTTTTTTGAGTTTGATTACAAATCTGAGGCTAATGAAATCAATTTGATTTTTAACATGTTGAATACATTTTTTTAAGGGTATCAAACTTAATTGAACTTCATATTCAGTTCAGTTTAGTTAATTGAGGTGGATTTTTTTTAAATGTCTAATAAATTCAGGATTTATTTCACAAAAAAAGGAAAAGAATTTATTCCCTTTTTATGTCAAATAACGAAGAAATTTTATGAAAACGATCATTAAAATCATGTTATAAAAATGTGTGGGTGTGCATATACCTAGCATGGTCCACTATTAACTATTTAAATTAATTCATTCTTAAACTGAGTTAAATAGAATTGTTCAGTTTTTAGTTACTTTCTTTATTCTTTATTTGGATAATGAGTTACTTCTCTAATTCTATTTATAAGCTGCTTCTGACATGTTTCACTAGTATCAAGAAAAATTTTAAAACTTATTAACTTTGTTTTAAAATTTAACAAGTTCTTAACTTTGTCTTTATTAAATATATATACTTTAATAACATATTTTCTCTCTCCAATATTTAATGGAAGGTAAAATAAAAAATTTGTGATAAAAATTTAATGACGTGATTTATAAATATGATAAAAAAAATTTCCTCTCTACTTTAAAGAGGACTAAAGGGAGTACTCACTTTATTTCTAGTAAATTTGTATCCTTTATTTTAGGATTTAATTTGACCTGTTTTTATTAAGCATATATTGTGATGGTTTATATATTCCCAGCTTATTGTCACTAGATAATGTTTTCATTTAAATCTCTACCCCCACACCAAAATAAAGAAAATCTCTTTTCCCTCAGCTGGTTTTTCTCATGTTAAGCAGAGAAAAAGCAGCAAAAAAAACTCTAATCATGTGAACAATGTAGGAGTTGGAAACATATAATATGCCCATCAATGTGTGTATATATATATATTTGAAGATATTTGAGGAGAAATTCTCGTTATATTTCCACTGGACCCTTTCAAGGGAATATATACAGGTATGAAGACACAAATCTGGCCTTAAAATGAGGGATAGGCCGAGATACAAGGAAGGAAAAAAAGGAAATAATCACCCTGACTAAATAAACATATATTTAATTGATATTAATTGTAAGGATATTAGGATATCAATACTCCCCCTCAAGTTGGATCATAGATATTGATCATGTCCAACTTGCCAACAAAATGTTTAAACTTGTCTCGAGCTAATCCTTTTGTAAGAATATCAACAGTTTGTTCTCTAGATGGGATTTAGGACAATTGAATAACACCATCATCAATTTTTTCTCTAATAAAGTGCCAATCAATTTCAACCTGTTTGGTTCTATCATGTTGAACAGGATTATGAGATATGTTAATGGCTGCCATATTATTTGAATATAGTTTAATTGGTAGATTCATGCTCTACTTTAACTCTTCCAAGACTTGTTTAAGCCAAATTCCCTCACAAATTCCAAGAGCAATTGCTCTGAATTCTACCTCAGCACTACTCCTTGCAACAACACTTTGCTTCTTACTTCTCCAGGTTACAAGATTGCCCCACACAAATGTGCAGTAACCTGAAGTAGACTTTCGGTCATCTTGATTACCTGCCCAATCAGCATCTGTAAACAACTCCACATTTCTTTTATCAGATTTTTTAAACCATAGTCCATGACCGGGTGAACCTTTCAAATAGCAAAGGATTCTATAAACTTCATTTAGGTGTTTCTGCTTCGGATCATGTGAGTGTTGACTAATCACACTTACAGCAAATGCAATGTCTGGCCTGGTGTGAGAAAGATATATCAACTTTCCTACGATACGTTGATATCTTCCCTTATCAACCGTCTTCCCAAGATCTTCATCTTCACTGATCTTATCTATTTTGATGGGATTCTTACTTGGTCTGCATCCCAACATGCCTGTCTCCTTTAAGAGATCCAGAACATACTTCTTTGAGAGATGTAAATCCCCTTCTTTAATCGGGCTACTTCCATCCCAAGGAAGTATTTCATTTCTCCGAGATCCTTTATTTGGAACTCTTGGGCTAATGCAATTTTAATGTGGTCAATTTCAGCTGTATCATCTCCAATGAGAACAATATCATCAACATAGACAGCTAGAACTGTCATTTTTTCCTTTCTGTGTTTGTAGAACATAGTATGATCACTTTGTCCCTGAGAGAACCCTTGCCTCTTCAACACCTTGGTAAAACGTTCAAACCATGCTCGAGGTGATTGTTTTAATCCATACAGTAACTTCTTCAGCAGGCATACTTGGTTTGATTTCTTCCTTGGAAACCCTGGAGGCATTTTCATATATACCTCTTCTTTGAGTTCACCATTCAAAAACGCATTTTTAACATCTAACTGATGTAATGGCCAGTCATGATTTACAGCTAATGACAGTAGAACTCTAATAGTATTCAACTTTGCTACTGGTGCAAATGTTTTTGTGTAATCCATCCTATATACTTGTGAGAAGCCTTTTGCAACAAGTCTAGCCTTATATTTTTCCAAGCTTTCATTAGCTAGATATTTAAGAGTGAAGACCCATTTACAACTAATAGGCCTTTTTCCTTTAGGGAGATCAACTACTACCCAGGTGTTATTTCGCTCAAGGGCCTCCATTTCTTCTAGAACTGCTTTCCTCCATTCAGGCATGACTAGAGCTTCATCAATGTTATTTGGTACCTTGATACTATCAAGGTGGGCAACAAATGCACAATATTTTTTTTTAAGGAAAGTGCCTGATAGGAAACGAATTTTTCTATGGGATGTCGTGTGCAAGCTCTAGGCTTCTTTCTGACTGCAATAGGGAGATCCAGGTCTTCTATTTCTTCTTCTTGTTCATTGCTATAACTAACACTTTGTTTCTCCGTTGGACCTGCTGTTGGTTCTGACTCTTGGTGAGTGCTAGGGCTTTCGGGCACAATACCTGTCTTGTGTCTTCGTGTATAGAACTTGTCAAATTTCCTGGCAGTCTCTACCCCTGGGTCAGACTTTTCTGTTTCATTTGGCATTTCCCCACTCTCACTATTAGTATCTTGGGGGGTATTAGTATCTTAGGGGGCAAGTTCCACAGACAACAAGTCAGGTTCAGGTTCATTTATGGGCTGAAATTCACTTCAACTCTCCCCCTAAATTGAAGACTCATGGTAATAGGGGACTTCTTCCTGAAAGGTAACATCACAAGTAATATATAGACGTTTTGTAGTAGAATCAAAGCATTTATACCCTTTTTGAGAGGCAGAGTAACCGAGGAAGACACACCTAACAGCTCGAGGGTCAAGTTTGTTACTATGATGTAGGTGGACATAGGAAGTACAACCAAACACACATAGGGGAAGGTTATTTGTGAGATAGGGTAGGTTATAAGTGGCACAAAGAAGCTGTAACGGAGTTTTATAAGATAGCGTTCTACTTGGTAGACAATTTATAAGGTAAGTGACAGTGAGGATAGCATCATCCCAGTGATATTTAGGCACATTGCTGCTAAGCATTAGGGCTCTAGCTATGTCAAGAATATGACAATTTTTTCTTTCCGCAATCCCATTTTGTTGAAGACTGTGAGGGCAAGTACTTTTATGAATGATTCCATGGTCTTTAAGGAAAGTGGAGAAATTTTTGTTGAAATATTCAGTGCCATTGTCACTATGAATGATTTGAATATTTGTGTGAAATTTTGTTTGAACCATTCTGTAAAAGGTAGCAAAAGTTTGATAAATTTCTCTTTTATCTTTCACAAGAAAAACCCAAGTTACGCGAGTGTGATCATCAATGAAGGTTATAAACCATCTAGTTTGAGTTCGATTTGGAGTCCTAGAGGGACCCCACACATCACTATGGATTGTAGTAAAGGGATGAGATGCATGATATTAAAGGCTAGGAAAGGATGAGCGGTGATGTTTAGCACGTTCACAAGAGTCACAACAAAAGATAGATGAGTCTTTATTAGAGCAAATTGAAGGAAACAATTGAGACATATAATGAAGATTAGGATGACTTAACCGTTTGTGCCATAACTCCAACTCACTAGACCTAGGGAGGGACACTTTATTACAAGTTCCAATACTCTTAACATCACTTTCATCCAGGTAGTAAAGCCCATCAAACTCTCTAGCACTACCAATCGTTGTCCCCATCAACAAATCCTGAAATAAGCAATGATTTGCAAAAAAGTTAACATGGCAACGTGTGTATTTTGCCGATTGGCTAACAGATAGTAAACTACACTTTAACTTGGGAACGTGAAGAACATTATGTAAAGTTAAGGTAGCAGAAATATGAACGTCGCCAATACCAGCCACCAAATAATTAGAATCATCAGCAATTGTAACAAGTTTTTTCTTGCATGAGACGTATGTTGTAAAGAGTGTAATATTATCAGTCATATGGTCAGATGCACCTGAATCTATAATCCAACAGTTCCTTGAGCACTTACCTTTGACGGTAGATAGTGCTTGAGAGAAATTACCTCGTTTAACCATAGTTGTAATTGGTTGTTTGTCGCTTTTCATGGCAACAAGCATCTCCAAAATCTTGTTGAGAGGATCATCTTGTGAAGACATGCTGGGTTCCTTGGCAGCTTCAACTATATATCCACGACCTCTGCTTTTCCGAGGTTTCCAATCAAGGGGTTTGCCATGCAAGTCCCAGCAAGTATCTTTAGTGTGTCCTACCTTGCTGCAATGATCGCAAGTAGGACGTCCCTTATTATTCTTTTGCTCATTTGAACGTACAGCAAGTGCGGAAGATGATTCAGGCAATGTAGATTGTGCTGTAGAATCTCCTTTCAGCATGACTTTTCTCTGAGATTCTTCCCTTCTTAATATAGCAAATGCTTCTCGGACAGATGGAAGAGGTTCTGTGCTCAAAATTCGGCCTCTAGCATCATCAAACACAGCATCCAAACCTACAAGTAATTCAAATAGACGCTCCTTTTCTAATTTTTTTGGGATTTAGCAGTGCCAGTAGGGCAGCACCATGTATCATCACTCATTAAGTCCAGTTCTTGCCAAAGAGAGTTTTTTTCGAGATAATACTCACCCAAACTTGACCATTCTGGATAGAAAGTGAAAGTTTCTGTTTTATCTTAAATACCTGAGAGACATTTTCACCATCACTGTAGGCTTCACGAACAGCCTCCCAAATAGCTTGGGTGGTAGAAAGAAACATGAAGCTCTTTTTGATGGTTGGAATCATAGCATTTATGAGCCATGAAGAGACAAGAGCATTTTCAGATTTCCACTTCTTCCAAGCCTTGAAGTCGAACGTTGGAGGAGTAGGAGATTCACCTGAGATGAAGCCCAATTTGGCACAACCTTCTAGAGTGAGTGTCATTGACTGTGCCCACTCACGATAGTTCTCGCCATTCAGCTTCTCTGGTACGATCAAAATCGCGAAAGTCTGAAGCCCAGAAGAGACGCCTCGTGTGGACCCATTTGCAGCGGAATCCTCTATTGCTGGCAGCATTGTTGATTGCGACTTGCTTTGCCCTAGTCGAGGACTCATCTCTGACTGAGTATCCGAAGACGAATTGAGTTCTCCTGTTGCTCTGATACCATGAAGATATTTGAGGAGAAATTCTCGTTATATTTCCATTGGATCCTTTCAAGGGAATATATACAGGTATGAAGACACAAATTTGGCCTTAAAATGAGGGATAGGCCGAGATACAAGGAAGGAAAAAAAGGAAATAATCACCCTGACTAAATAAATATATATTTATACTATATAATTGATACTAATTGTAAGGATATTAGGATATCAACAATATTATTGGTAATTAAAATCTTAAGAATTGAAATTCTTCTGAAGAATCATAGAAATACACTATGAAAACTTCTAACTGAAGAACTCATGTTCCATAAAATTATAACATGGTCATCCAGATGCTGCAACGGCCCTTTCATTGAGGAAGCAACAAATTAAAATCCGCATTGCAATATCAATTAGTAACTTCGAGTATAAATTGTAAAAAGAAAAAAGAAAACAATAGCAGCCACTTATTTTTTATGATTATCAAAAGTATGAACACTCACAATAAATTTTAATCATGAAAAAAACCTTGAAAGCAGCATTTAAAATGTGTTCAAAGAAAAAATCAACAGTTGCATTACTAGCTCGTGAAGGCGAAAATGTAGCAAAAAGAATGCCATGACCAGGCAATCTGGAGAAGATTATTGTAGGAACTACAACTGAAGAAGAATTTTTGTCGACAACAAACTAGCAAATGTAGTATCCAAGAAAGTAGTCCATTATGAAATGTCTAAGCATATTGATGAGCAGTTCTATTTTATCAGGAAGCATAAAAATTCAAATGAAGCTGAATCAGTGCAGGTGAAATTCAAGGAGCAAATAATGCATATTTTCAACAAAACAACTTAAGATGAGTTTTGAAGAAATCATACATAAATTTTAGTCCCAAATCAAAGAGCGCATGAATTGAAAAAACTGTCAAAGAGGCTAGCAAAAAATGTTGAAGGCTAAGTTCTTGTAAGGATTATAAATCCTTTTGTACACCAAAACCCTGAGATTGTAAATAGAGGAATGCAAGTGTGGGAAGTATTTGACATGATAAGTAATACAGGGTGTTTGCAGCCGTAAGGAAAGAAGGAACAGCTCTATGTTAATCCATAACCAATCAAATTACACCAAGATGTTAAAATAACTACAACAAATGCATGACTATAACAGAACTTCTTCAACAGAAATCACAAGGAGGAATAATCCAATAACTTCTCTAAAAACTTTTGGCAAATATCAACATCAATACAAGCATATTATGATCAAAATAGAGCCTTTAAACTTGTTTTACTGTTGTAGAAGACCTCTATCTATCATCTCATAAAGAAAAATGGTTGCCTTATCATTATCATTTTTCCTCAAAAGAGCTTGTATAAGCATTTCAAATGTCACAAAATTTGGGAGGCAACCATTATCTTTCATCTTTGAGAGCAATGTCAATGCTTCACCGAATAAGCCTTCTTTGCAAAAGTCCATTCATCATAATACTGTAAGTGTAGACATCAAGATGATTGCTTTAGTCAGAAGGAAATCAAAGATCTCTTTTGCAAAAATTAACCTACCTCCCTTGCACAAACCATCAATTAATATATTATATGTACAAATTGTCGGTTGCATTCCTGGGTTGACCATTTGCTGATATAATTCAATTGCCTCATCAAGATGTTTCATTTTGCAAAATGCATCCAACAAAATGTTGTAGGTTATTATATCAGGAGCTAGATCATTGCGAAGCATCTCATAAATAAGATCTTGCACATATAAGAGTCTCTTAGCTTTGCACTAGACATACAATAAGACTGTTGTAAGTGACTCTATCAAGAACCAAATTTTTGCAGCGCATTTCTTTAAAAAGATCAAGGGCTTCATCCTCCATTTTAAATTTACAATAGCAGTGAGTTTTCATTGCAAATTAACCCAGCAATTTCTAAGTGCACACAATATTCTTTGTGCCAGTATAGCTTTAAATAATAAATTTAAGACAATATCATGTTATTTTTAGCAACAATTTATATAAGAAAAAATGCTTATTCATGAGAAAAATTTGATACTAGTCAAAGTTTGAAACAAAAAAAAAAAATCAAATCATTAATGAACTGTAAAACAAGGAGGAACCAAACTAGTCTTAGGACCAAAAATTACACAAAAAAGGTCCAATCCTCTAAGAATACAAACCAAAGTTAATATACTAGCACATGACTTCAACAAAACATCTTCAAGAGCAATCAACCAATTGAATAGTACAACTTCATCAACCCAAAGAAGGAACCACTTTTTTTTTCCCCATATATTTCGAATGAATCTTAACAAGTACAGCAATGATCAGAAGTATCGTGACCTTATTTTTACCATTTTAGAAGACATCGACCAATCATTTCATGAATAAGCATCTCTACTTTATCATTCTCATTTTTCTTCAAAAGACCTCCCACTAACGTTTTAAATGTCACCAAATTAGGAAGGCACCCATTCTTTGTCATTGTTGAAAGCAATGCCAATGCTTCACTGCACAAGCCTTCTTTACAAAGTGCATTCATCATAATGTTGTAAGTGCAGACATTTAGATGATTGCTTTCGGTCAAAAGGAATTCAAAGATCTCATGTGCTAAATTTAGCTTACCACCCTTGCACAGACCATCAATCAATATATTGCATGTCCTCATTGTAGGTTGCATTCCTTGGTTGATGATTTGCTGGTATAATGCAATTGCCTTGTCAAGAAGTTTCATTTTGCAAAATGCATCCAACAAAATATTGTAGGTTATTATATTAGGAACTTGGCCATTAAGACGCATCTCATAAACAAGATCTTGCACATATGAGAATCTCTTAGCTTTGCACAAGCCATCAATAAGAGAGCTGTAAGTGACTATATTAGGAACCAAATTTTTGCAGCGCATTTCTTTAAGAAGATCTAGCGCTTCATCCACCATTTTTAATTTACAATGTGCATTAATCAATATATTGTAACTCCAGACATTAGGTGCGAAGCCATTTTTGATCATCTTGTTGAAAACTTCTCTTGACTCATCAACACTATTCCTCATAAAGTACCCATGCATCAAAGCGTTGAATATAGCAGAATCAGGTTTTATAGAGCATTTCATCATCTTGGCAAGGACAGATTGAGCTTCTACGATCCTTCCTCTTTTGCAAAATCCATTGACTAGGATATTAAAGGTACAAAGATCAGCAGTGATGTCTTTCAAAGCCATTTCATTTAGAAGTTCAGCAGCTTGTTGCATTTGGTTGACGCAGAGGAAACCATGAATTAAGGTGCTGTATGTGACAATATCAGGACATAATCCTTGGCTCATCATTTCAGAACACAATTGAGATGCCTCACTTACAAGCCCTTCTTTACAAAGGCCATCAATGACTGTGTTGTATAAAATCAAATCAGGCTTAGTTTTAATTCTCCGTCTTCCCATCATTCGAAGCAAGTTAACAGCACATCTCGTTTTTCCAGCTTTACACAGTCCATTAACCAAGGTACCATAAGTAAATGCGTTTAAACAAAATCCTTTTGTCAACAGGTCATCGTGAAAGTCCAGCGCCTTCCCTACATCTTTCATGCAGAGTCCTTTCACCAACGTAGTCATTGTTATAGTATTTGGTTTATAACCCCATTTGAAAGTCTTACCCAATGAAGAGAAAGCAGAAGCCATGTCACCCACATGACAATAACAATTGATCAAAATGGACAGCGTAACTAAAGATGGTTGGAATCCTTTCAATTCAGCCTGGGCAGAAAGTGAGATAGCCACTTGGTAGTGTTTGGACTTTGCAAGTGATCCTAAAATCTTATTAATTTCGACAATGGAGGGCCGCGGACTCATGGAGAGCAAGCGATTGAACGAAGCAACAGGATCTCGGAGGCTATTAGGGTTTTCGGAATGGGAATGTAGAAAGCATTGCAGACTAAGGGCGGAAGGGAGAGAAAGAAGGAAAGCAGGCAGCGAAGATTGCAAAAAGAGAGGGGATTTGAGGAAGCCATACCTTGAAATAGCAGAGGAAAACGACATCTCCAGATGAGATTCAAAGAAGAATGTCGAATACATCAACGCTGCTTCAACAAAGGAGAAATGCGAGAAACAGACGCTATGGAATTGAATCGAAGATATGACATTGCCAAAGTGCAGCAGGCGAAGATGATTGGGAGAAATAGGGACTGTAATTGCAACATCATTTTCTAATTTTCTAATGAAAATAATTACTCCTTATATCCTAAATTACAAAATATTTTTAAATAAAATTTATATACTAATAAATTTTATTAAATATATTTAATAATATTATTTTTAAAATAAAAATATAAAATTTTTTAAATGCCTATTATTTAATATATTAAAAATAAAAAATAAAAAATAATTATAGAAAGAGAAAAGATAATATTAAAATTAATGCATTTAATGAAACTTTAATATACTTAAAGTATCTAATATTTTGAGACGAACAAGCTCTTCAAAAGTATCATATGATTTGAAACAAAAAGATAATATTTAAACATGAATAATATAGCTAAGTCAATAGAGTCAGGCAATAGCTTAGTTAAATCAAACCAAAGTTTTTTTTTCTTTTAAACAGATCAAAATATTAGTTAAAATGATTTCTTGACAAACTAATTAAATTAAAATGATATTTAAATTCTCTTTTAATTTAATTTCCTATTATTTAAGAGTTAATTAAAATAATTTGTTAGACAATATTTTCTAAATTTTTCTAAATACATTATAAATTAAAATGATGTTAAAATCACTTTTAACAAGAAAACACAGAAAGATGATGTTTTGATCACATTTAATTTAATTACTTATTACTCCCCCGATCCAAAATACATGGCATTTTCTATCTACTAAATGCCATTTGCTAATATAAGAAAGTAGTGATAATAGTTTATCATTTTAATATTACAAACCAATTTCAATTACCATTCTTAATCTTTATTAAGTTCATTAAAAAAAGGTCTTATCTTTTGAATTTGAAAAAATATCATATTTTATTTACACGCCATCTCTCCAATAAAGTGTTTTGGTGCTATCAAGTCAGGCTAATTGATTTAATTGCCTATTATCTTAGAGATAAGTGAAATCATTTGTTTCAAATGATATTAATAAAACATCTATTTTGACTAAATCTTGCTTAAAAAACTAACACATAAGACATTACAATTTTTTTTTTTTTACATTCTTCTATTAATTCAAGTTATTTGGCCCAACTTTTGAAACAAAAATAAATATTATCTAGTTAATTTATTTACTTTTTATTTCATCACTTAGTATCTTAAAAAACTTGAAACATTATCACATCTATCTAAACTAATGCATACTCTCACTGCATAGAACCATTATTACTAACAGTAGCCTAATAGATACTTTAGAGCTAGTGACTGTATATTTAAAACTTGAACTTTGAAACTCCAAGATAAGTGGAACGCACAAAACATTGCAAAGGTTTTTTTTTTTTTTTAACACTCATCCTTTTCTCATCTTGTTGAATGCTTCTCTTGACCAGTTAATAATGTTCCTCATGCAGTACCCATTTATCAAAGAATTGAAGGTAACAACATTAGGTTTTATGGAACATTTCATCATCTTAGCAAGGATCGAATGAGCTTCTATGATCCTTCCTCTTTTGCAAAATGCGTCAATTAGTATATTAAAAGTATAGTGATGTAGCTGATAATGCTTTTGGATACAATACTTGCCTCATAAGAGATGCAAAAGCTTGTGGCTTTGATTTAGTATGGTATGGTGAAGAGGCAGCAAGGTTGGTTTTGATTTTTCTGTGGACTCTTCTTTGTAGCAAGCTTGATTTTCCTTGTTTTTATTATATCTATGTTAATGCCATATTTCTTATGAATATTCGGGGTTCTGAAGCTTGACAAGTTATATTTCTGCCACAAGGGTCTTTTGGGACCCCATATTCAATCAAATTCTGCCTGCCAGGACCCAGGAGAACTCTTCTGAACCTTTCCACTAGGACTTAGGATTGATATTCAAGTACCTAATTGGAGTGGACTCTTAAAAATATATATTAGGCCTTTATGTTGATTTCGATTAACGAAAGGTTGATAATGCCTTCTCCCTTTTGTCTGTCTGGGTTTGTAAGGTTATATAACTTCCCCAGTAGATTAAGACTAACGACCCTCATGGTGTATGGACAATGATGTATCCTTTTGTATTCCCAATCAATGGTAATGGTAGTTATTATACTCCTTAAATATATTTTAATCTGAATGATGACTTTTTAAACTATGTTTAGATTAATGTGCATCACAAAACTTATTCATTATATAGAGAGTACGGGTTTTATGTTTACAAGATAAGAGGCTCATCCTTCATTTTTGTCTCGTAGAAGTAGACAGAACCAAACCAGATTTGTTGAGATGAATCATGTCATTTTTTCCCGAGTCTTTCCTGTTTAGAACATATGAGCCATGTACAATTATCTTTGTCTTGCTTTGATCCACTGGATGATGTTATTTTGTTGCCTCAGCTTTTTCTACATTGTACTCACAAGTTACCAAATTCAACTATTTACTTATTAATTCCAGCTAAATTAGTGATTTATCTTTAAAATACTGATTATGGCAAGGATCATGGATATACATGATAGTGCCCCTCCCCTTTCCCTCTATGTAGGAAGGGGTATGAGTCTATGAGAGATGTAACTGTTTGGAGACATTCTGCATGTGTCACCTAGAATTAGAATCAAACACATGCACGCACTGACACACATTTATTTTATATTGATTATATACCACTGGTGTTACGTTCTTTGGCAACAGGTCTTTTCTTTTTTTAAAATACATAAGGCAAGCTCGCAGCTAGTGAAATAAAATTAAAACAGAGTAACTACCCAGAAACTAAAAATAAACAAAGCGCATTCGTAACTGGTTGCCTACTCCGATTGCATTCTTAGCCAAAAAATCAGCAACATTGAGACTCTCTCTCTGTGGGCATGATGAAAACTAACCTCCCAATCCGTAAAGATGGTGTTCCGTGTGGTCTCTAATAGCTGTCGGCATCTATTTCCAGCCCCACCATCCCTCATTAAAGCGTTAACAGCTTCGAGAGGATCTGAAAATAACCGACCTTCGGAAATTCCAAGTGATTTGCAGACTTATAAGCCTGTCTTTATAGCTTGTAATTCTTCCGTCTTAATAACATCCATGAGCCCGATTTCTTTTTGAAATCCCTTGATCCATTCCCCTCGTGAATTCCTAATCACTCCTCCGCATGTAGCATGTTGATTATGTTGGACAGAAGCATCGACATCAACTCGAACAACACCAGTTGGCGGGGAGTTCCATAGAATATGTGAGTCTTAAGCTGTATGACATAATCTATTTCCGAAAGTACCATTAATAACCTCCTTCGTTAGATGAGCAAAGCATGACTGAACAACCTCATTTACTGTACTCCAGCTGACACCAAAAATTTTCTGGCAACGTGTAATCCACAAGTTCCAGCAGATTATGGAAAAAATTTTGATCCATGGCCATCTTCTAAATATGGCAACAGGCCTTTTCAGTAACCACGGACCACTCTACTTTGTCTAAACAAGAGTCAGTTTCTCAGAGATGGGTTTAACCTGTCATATTGGAAGGATTCATTGAGGTATATCAGCAGAGTAATTACTGCAATATTAATGATTAATATTAAATGATTAAAATAACTAACAAAAATATATTTGTTTTTGTGTACATTATGTGTATTTGTCTTTGTCCGGGTGTTATTTACTTGTGCTATTACTGAATGTTGATTGATCATTAATCAGGCATCCGTTAAGACTTAATAACAGGGAAGAAATATTAATCTTTATCCAAGTCTGGACAAGGATCTCATACAAGCTAGATAAAGCCAAGAAGGAATCTCCAAGTAATAAGTCAGAAATCATTCATATCTTCACATAGATTGTCTTACAATTATATAAAACCACATAATTACAGTTATAACTATGATTTGACAGCACACACACTTGAACTCCTAATTACTTGACAACTCAACATTCCTAAGATAAGAAACATAAGCTCCAATATTATAATTCTGACAACACATAAGGTAGTTATTCAACGTGAGTAACTCCCTTGTCAACTGATCCTAAAGATGCATTTTGATTGGGACTTTGCTTGCGCCTCTTATATACTAGTAACGGGTTCCTATCAGCATCAGTTGAGAAAAATGCCACGGAGATAAAAGAGTATACAGAGGAAATTAATTGGGGCCCAACAAACGTATTTTGCTTCTTGGGCATAGCAAGGGAGGAGCAGATACGGCCGCTGCTTTATCATTTATATTGGTCTGACTTGAAAGATAAAGTTGCCTGGGGACGGCTTGGGAGAAGGACAGCTTGGGGATTATGTAACTTTACAGAAACTTACAGAGATTCTTGTCTGTAGAATAATAAAACAATAATGTCTTTTGACTGCTTGCCATATAAAACTGTGAGGGAGATCATATATAGAAATATTCATATAAAAAAAAGAGAATATTCGCTAAATAAATTTCTGCGTAAGTCCATTTAGTATGTGTCACCCACAAAACATGCTTAACTCAATCATCAACAACATAATAACCCTATTTGCATAGTTAAACCACTTAGGAGCAATCTTACACTGCAAAACCAAAATTGCCTGTTTTTAGAGTGGTATACCTCCAATGCTAGACAATAATAAGTTCTGCAAGTTCCAAAAATATAAATCAAGACATTAACAAATTAAAACATGAGCAATAGTATCGATGAAACAACTACAGAGGATCATAAAGAAATTAACAAAAGGTTCTGAATATTTAAGTCATTAATTGCATATAGCTAGTGAAAATTAAGTCTATCGGTATATGCATTAACCTTGGGAGCAGCATTGAAAGGCTGTAAAGCGCATTCTTTCTAATCTTAGTGGAGCTATCACTCAAGGTCATTTCATGCTGCTGATTTTACTCTCACCATTTACTGTGATGCCAATTGGCAAAGAAATACAAATGATAGAAAATTATAAAGAATAGTGTAACCATATCTAAATGTTTTTGCCTTGTGGTACCAGCTATATGACATAAAAGGAACAAATACTGGAGTCTGCAAGCTCTTGTAACAATACTTATACGATGATTTTACCTTGCCATCAATGCCTCCATATTTTTCTCTTGCCACTCAGAATGTTTCATCCTTGATGAGCCCATACTTTATAACCTCAGCAAAACCTGATGGACTCATGAAATTTGAAACTTACATTTTTAATTTAAAACTTATAATAAGAATTAATCCCTTTTTCCTAGTAATGCACACAGAAGAGGCCTAACAAAAAACGTCTCTTTCATTAATGCTACCTAACAATTAATAAAAAGTTCTTAGAGAGTAATGATCCCTTTTCTTTTTCAGACCCCAAAGAAAAAGGAGAGCAATGATCTGAAGTATGACATACTTAGGTGGATAATTCTGGCTGCAGCCATTGCTGCACCTGCCACCTCCTGCTTTTCCTCCACCTCTTCAATAAGTGAATCATTTGAATTGATGCTCACAATTCCTTCAATTATGGTTTTGATTCTTGTTATTCACTGACTATTTACTACTATTCCTACCCAATGCTCATTATGCAAGTCTAGGCAATCTATAAGGCATAAAGGGCTTGACATTCATGTCTCAAAACTGATGCTAACAATTCTTTCGATTATGGTTTTGATCCTCAAAAACTCAGAAGTTCACAACCATTTCAGCAAATATTACAGCTAAAAATAAAGTGCTTCCCTTAGCATTGGTACAACAGTGAAACTGTACCTCATCAACAGCTCGCTGAAAGTACTCAACTGAAGAAACCTCTCAAAAGCACTCCTATTTTCTCTGTTCTACCTACCCTACACACTTTCATGCACCCCTCAATTCACATGCCACCATGAGCCGCGTAAATTGAGGTTGGCTTGGTGGTTTTGTTATGTATGATATATTGATGGTGTAGTTCCTCCTCTTGTGGCAACTACACTTGATCTTAGACAAAAGGCCTCCACAATTTTATTTTATATTTTATAATCACTATTAGTTGTTGTAAAATTATGAAATAAATAATGATTACCATTTAACTCATTAATTAATTTTACCCCTATTTGATTGGAAGAATAGAGGGAATGAGAGATTTTAATAAGTTCGATTTGAAAAATGAAAAAAAAAATTGCGAAGTTAAATTAGAGCAAGTGAAATTCAAGGAGCAATTCATGCATAATTCGACAAAACCACTTGAGAAGATTTTCGAAGAGATCATACATGCATAGTGGTTCCAAAACAAAGAGCACATGAATCACAAAAAAGAGTAGTAAAGGCTAGCAGAAAATGTTGACGACCAAGTTCTGGTAAAATAAAGGAGTGCAACAATCTGATAAGTGCAAGTGCCTAAAATTAGCAACAGCTTTTCCTCTTTCATTTATTTCAAATAAATCTTAACAAGCACGGCAAAGATTAGAAATGGTATTTGACCTTATTTTATCTTTTAGAAGACCTCTACCAGTCATTTCATGAATAAGCACCTCTGCTTTATAATTCTCATTTTTCCTCAAAAGAGCTTGTATAAGCGTTCCAAATGTCACAAAATTTGGGAGGCAACCATTCTCTTTCATCTTTGAAAGCAATGTCAACGCTGCACCGAACAAACTTTCTTTGCAAAGCCCATTCACAATGATATTGTAAGTGTAGACATTTAGATGATTGCTTTTGGTCAAAAGGAATTCAAAGATCTCCAGTGCCAAATCTAGCCCACCTCCTTTGCACAGACCATCAATCAATATATTGCATGTCCTCACTTGAGGTTGCATTCCTTGGTTGATGATTTGCTGAAATAATATAATTGCCTTGTCAAGACGTTTCATCTTGCAAAATGCATCCAACAAAATGTTGTAGGTTATTATGTCAGGAGCTCGGCCATTACGACGCATCTCATAAACAAGATCTTGCACATTTGATAGTCGCTTAACTTTGCACAAGCCATCAATAAGAGAGTTGTAAGTGGTCGTATTAAGGACCAAATTCTTGCAGTGCATTTCTTTAAAAAGGTATAGGGCTTCATCTACCATTTTTAATTTACAATATGCATTGATCAATATATTGTAACTCCAGACATCAGGTGCCAAGCTAGTTTTGATCATCTTATTGAACACTTCTCTTGACTCATCAACACTATTCCTCATGCAATATCCGTGCATCAAAGAATTGAATGTAACAGAATCAGGTTTTATACAGCATTTCATCATCTTGGCAAAGACAGATTGAGCTTCTACAATACTTCCTCTTTTGCAAAATGCATCAACTAGTATATTAAAGGTATAAAGATCAGGAGTGATGTCTTTAAGGGCTATTTCATTTAAAAGTCTAGCTGCTTGTTGCATTTGGTTTACACTGAGGAAACCATGGATTAAAATGCTGTAAGTTACAATATCAGGACATAATCCTTGACTGATCATTTCATAACACAATTGAGATGCCTCATTTACAAGCCTTTCTTTACAGAGGCCATCAATGACTGTGCTATATATAATCAAATCAGGCTTAATTTTAATTCTCCGTCTCCCCATCATTTGGAGCAATTTAACAGCACATCTCGTTTTTCCACTCTTACACAGCCCATTAACTAAGGTACCATAAGTTACTGCGTCTAAGAAAAATCCTTTTTTCAACAGGTCGTCGTGAAAGTCCAGCGCTTTCCCTACATCTTTCATGCAGAGTCCTTTCATCAACGTATTCATTGTTATAGTATTCGGTCGGTAACCCCACTTGAAAATCTTACCCAATAAAGAGAAAGCAGAAGTCATGTCACCCTCATGACAGTAGCAATTGATCAAAATGGACAGCGTAACTAAACACGGTTTGAATCCATTCAATTCCGCCCGCGCAGCAAGTGAGATAGCAGTTGTGCAATGCTTGGTCTTTGCAAGTGATCCTAAAATCTTATTAATTTCGACAATGGATGGCCGTGGACTCATGGAGAGCAAGCGATTGAACGAAGCAACTGAATCTCGGAGGCTATTAGGGTTACCGGAATGGAAATGTACAAAACGTTGCAGATTAAGGGCGACAGGGAGAGAAAGAAGGAAGGCAGACGGCGAAGATTGCAGAAAGAGCAGAGATTTCAGGAAGCCATACCTTGAAATGGCAGAGGAGAACGACATCTTCAGATAAGAGTCAAAGAAGAATGTTGGATGCATCGACGCGGCTTTAACAAAAGAGAAGTGCGAGAAACATATGCTGTTCTTCAAAAAGAAACATATGCTGTTGGATCTGAATCAAAGAAATGAGACTGCGATAGAGAAGAGGGCAGGCTTTATTGATTATACTAACAACGTTAAGAAATCCGTTTTTTCAGCAGAACAGAACAGATCATGATCATAAAATCAGTTAAAATAATTAAAATGATGTTTAAATCTCTTTTAATTTAATTGCCTATTATTTAAGAGTTTATTAAAAGCGTTTGTTAAACAATTTGTTGTCAATTTATTTTACAAAAATAATAATAAAATCCATTCAAATAAAAAAATTAATAATATGAATTCTCGAAACGCTGATGAAATCTCTAAAGATTTTTATATTAATAAATTTTTAAATAAAAAAATTATTTTATTTTTATTAAAAATAATAAATTTGAATCTCAACTTTTTTTAATAATAATAATTTTTATTATATAAATAGTAAGAATTAAAAAAAATTACAACCTATTAAATATAATTTTTATTATTTAAAAATAAATTTCAATCATAACTTTTATTAAAAAAATAATAATTTTTATTATATAAATTATAAAAATTAAAAAAAATCACAATATATCAAGTAAAATTTTTATCATTAAAAACAATTTCTCAAAATAATAAACTTTATTCATAATTTTTATTTAAAAAATAATAAATTTTTTTTTAAAAAGGAAGAATTTGAATAAAAAATCATAAAATTGTTAAAAAAAAATAAAATTATCTTTTTAATTTAAAATTTATTGACATAAAAATATCTAAAAACTTCATTAAAATTATGATATTTTTAGATACTAGATTGTTATTTATATAATATGAAAGAATTTTATTGTCATCTTCTCAATTTTTTAAATATATTATTATTAATATTAGTAAAAATCATATCAAAATCACTTTAAGAAAAAAACGTAGAAAGATGATTTTCAAGTAAAAAATGTGTCTTGTAATTTGTAAAAAATTTGAGACTTTATATCCAATTAGAAATTTGGTAGGAAGAAATAATAAAGAAAAGGAAAGGGTTAAGTTGCTAAATGCTATGAACACAATATGGTGTCTCTAATATAAAATGATCTCTAAAAGTAGGATAAGGAGTTACTCCTTCTTTTGAAAAATATAAATTATTTTTAATTAAATCTTATCTCCTAATAAAATAATTATCTACTTTTAAATTAATTCTGTTTTTTTATATTTATCTTTGTTAAATATTATATAATAAATATAAAATTATTATCAATAGAGACACTTTTAAAAAAATAATTATTACACTTTAAAAGATTAAAAATATCTTAAATTTTTAAATATCAAACTTCTCAAAAAATGTCTTATAAAGAGAGTATTATTTATACTATTAAAAATTTAAAAAACTAAAACATAATTTCAACCCTTTAATTTTATAAAAAATTTTAATTTAATTCCTTAATTTCATGAAATATTTTTTTTTATTCGTTAACTATAACTTTATTAGCTTTAAATTATTATTTTTTATATCAATCATTATTATTTTTAAAAAAATTAAATTTAACATATTAACATTTAAAAATATTTTATCAATATTTAAAAATTCAATTAAAAATTTTTTTATTGATGAAATAAAAATATTAGAGTTGAATGATTAAAAAAATATTTTATAAAATATTTTACGTATTAAAAATGATAGGAATACAACAATCTGCATCATTTTAATTTTTTCTATTAGAAAAATATTTACAATAAGATTTTCCTAAATCAAAATTTAAAATTTTTTGGGCTCATTCTCGTTAGCCTAAATTAACAACATAAAACTACATGACTAATAGACTCAATTGAAAATATATTTTATAAGAAAATAATTAGAATGCCCTTTGATTATATAAAAAGACAGAATACACACACACACACCCACACACACATGCGGCTCCTTAAAATTTGCGGGTGAAGCCGTCTCATTCTGTCATCACAAGTTTGTTCTCAATGGCTTTGGGTTTTTGTTCTTTTGGCTCCTGCTCTTTCACTTTCCTCAGATATAAAACAAATAAATTAACACATCTTCAGAACTTGATCAACTATAGAAAGCAAGCAAAGGAAATAGCAAATTGATCATATGTTGGAAAGTACCCATTATATAGGTCACAACTCTAGTCAGGTGATCTTTGGAACTAAATATCTTCTTCATTAGTACAACTAAAATTAAATCAACGAGAGGAAAATTAGAAACTAACGTAAGTTGTTAAACAAGGACAACCTAGGAAAAAGGAAAAAAAAAAAAAACAAAGGAAGGTAAAAGAGAAAGAGTAAGAGAAGAGAAGAGATACGTGGCAGCCAACAAACATTAACAAACTATCATAGAACATACTTTCTTTTAACAAACAAAAGCAAGCATAGCTTGAAACAGAGAAAACACAAATAGAAGTCTACAAACTGCTGGCTACTGTTAGCCATGTCCTTCAAAACAATTTGAGCGCATCCCTATGGGATTTCAAAAGCCACCGATGCATTTGATCTACAACAATGGGCTGATCTTGCCATAAAATCTGCACACTCTTGCCATATTACACCACATACTAATTGATCATAAAACCAAAAATCATAAACAAAACAAAACACGTAGAAAACCATACAGAACAGAGAACAAAAAAGAGAAAATGGACTTAGCGAGCATGAAGAAGTCGATCAGAAAGCAAATGGACAGAAAGAACACACAACAAGAAAGCACAAACAAGACGGTCAGCCAAAACAGCATTCAATTGTTGCTTCATTAGCATGCTGAGGTGAAAATGTAGTAGGAACAGGATACCATAGCCACACAATCCGATGAAGATTATTAGAGGAACTACAAGTGCATTGAAAGAAAGATTATTAAATTTAAAATGTTCATTGATCAATGCTACGTAGATCCAAAGAATAGGCGTCAAATCAGCTTTGTCATCTTATCGAACGCAGCTCTGGACTAATTAACATCATTCATGGTATGGTACTCATTCATCAAAGAACTAAAGGTAATAGCATTAGGTTTTATGCAACATGTTATCAAGTTAGCAAAGACACATTGAGCTTCAAAGATCCTTCCTCTTTTGCAAAATGCATCAACTAGTATATTAAAGGTCAAGGATCAGGAATGATGTTTTCTAAGGCTGTTTCATTTAGCAACTAGAACCTTGCAATTGTTTGATGTAAAAAAAGCCACGGATTAGAGCGTTGAAGATTAAAATATCAGGAGAAAAATCCCTGCCTGATCATTTGAGAACACTATTTACATGCCTCACTTACCAGGCCATCTTTACAAAGGGCATTCACGACCATGTAATATATAAACAAATCAGGCTTAATTTTAAATCTCTTTCCCCCCATCATTTGTACCAATTTAACAGCAGCTCCCATTTTTCCTGTTTTACATAGCCCGTTAACAAAGAAACCATGAGTAACTGAGTGTAAGAAAAATCCCGTGAAGGTCTAGTGCTTTCTCTATATCTTCCACAGAGTCCTTTCATCATCATATACATTTTTACGGTACCAGTCAATAACCCCACTTGAAAATATTCCCCAATGAAGAGAATGCAGAAGCCATGTCACCCATATGACAGCAAATATTGATCAAAATGTTCAACGTAATTAGAGATCATTTGAAAGTCTAGTCATTTGAAATGTCATCCAGAGCATACAATTTGCTCTAGCTGAAGAGGAAGATGTTCGTATTCATCATGCTTACAAGGAAACTATAAAGTGTGCTGATCAAATGGTGAGGAACGCTCATTCAGGAGACTTTGAACCAACCCTTCACTGGGGAGTTCCTTTTGACTGTTTTAATTTCTTTATTGATGACTTAGCTACATTTAATGGTACCTCCAACAACCTGGAGGTGCAGTAGTCTGTCTTTTTTGTGTTTCGTAACTTTCTCAAGCCTTTGACTTGCCTGTATATTGTGGAAAAAAAAAATGTTCATATTCTACATATCAACTCACAAAGGTCATGCTCATTTAAATTCGACAATAAACAAGCCTGCCAAAAAAATTTTCTAGTTTTTATATCTACCAAAACTTAGATATGCTCCAATTGAAAAATATAAAAAAGGGCTCCCACTGATAAAATCACTTTCAAGCATATTTCAATTTGCTGCTTCATTTAAGATAAGGATGAATGCAAATACTATAGATTAAGAAATTAAGCATCACATGTTCATGATAGTTAATCTTACCTTCTAAAAAAATGAGGAGGCATCGCAAATGCTTCAAAATTTAAGGTTTAAACTAGGACAACATCATTCATCGAGTTACCCAATAGAGACCTGCATTTGCAAACCTTTAACACAGATTCAACAACTAATAATAGCATAATAATGACACAACCATTATTTATATTCGTACTCCATAATTGTACTTCCATATGCAAAGGGTGACACCAGAATTGCTGATTTAGATAAAAAAAATTGCATAAAGGGATGCATTTTTACAAACTATCAAAGAAAATTTGACACAAGCTCAACTTCATATGAAGGCTCAAGCTAACTCTAAAAGAAGGGATGCAGAATTTGAGCATGGAGACATGGTATTTCTCCATTTACAGCCCTATCGTCAGCAACCTATGGCCAAAAGACATTTTGAAAAGCTTTCTCCTCAATTATTTGGGCCCTATCCGGTGTTAAGCAAAGTTGGTAAAGCGGCTTATGGGTTACAACTCCCTCTAGGAGCTAACGTATACCCAGTTTTTCATGTTTCACTTCTTAAACTAGCTCAAGGGTATGATTCACAAGCACCACTGCCTCCCTTACCCATTTCAAAAGATTGGGAATTTCAAGTGGAACCTGCTAAGGTTCTGCACTTGACTCCTGGAATTGTTGATTCAGCAGAAAAACAGACCTCTTGAAGAATCTAATTGGGAAGATCATGATCTCATTGCCTCGCAATTTCCTGCATTCCACCTTGTGGAGGCGGTTCTCATAGGGGAGGGTAATGATGGGAACCAATGTCCCTTGTTGGTTTATTCCAGGAAGAGACATGGCATTCCTATGTGATATTGTTTATGTTTTATGGATTTCATTTCAGTTTTCAGTTATATGTTGTTATTTTCAATTTCTTAAGGATAAGACTTGATGGTTATAGTTAGTTTTTGTGTCTTGTCATAAATATATTATTCAAACATATTTGGAGATACTCCTAACTTCTAGAATTAGATTCTGATTCTAAAAAATATCCATTTACTCTTCTTAACATTTTCTTCCACTTATCAATTTCTACTTGTTCCTTTTCAAGATTCTACCAGTCTACCATTATGAATATAATTTATAGAGAAATGTTTACTAATGTGGAAGGAATTAACTAATGTTTGGCATATCCAATCAAATCTAGACAAATAGATCTTAATGTGTTAATTAAATTAATAACAATAATTTATTATAAAATAAATAACTTATAAAAGATCATTTGTCTTGATTTAATTGGAAATAAACACAGCAAGTATATAAGACTAAGTATAAAGGTTTTTTCCCTAACAATAATACCGACTGGTTATGATCATCTGCATTTGTACATCAAATAAATGCATAATTTGGTTCTAAAGAGAGAAAATTGAGAACTAGTAAAGGAAGGGTGAAAAAGAGTGACCATATGTATACTTTTATTCTTTGTATAGCCGTTATTTTGCCCTAAACGCATGTCTGAACAGAACAAGTTCACAATTCAATATTTACAAACCTTAGGATTATAAAGGAACAAAATCATCTTTGGTCTCCAAACGTCTTCGTTGCAGATACCTTGCCCTATAGACTTGAGTGGTGCCAATTGCCAAAATATCAATTTAGAGATGCATGCATGATTCAGAGCCATAATATCAATTCACATGTTCATGATAGTTAATCTTACCTTCTAAAACAAAAACGAGGAGGCAACCAAGGTGCTTCAAAATTTAAGGTTTAAACAATGACAACATTGCCTTTTGAGTTAGCCAACAGAGACCTGCATTTGCAAACCGTTAAAACAGATTAACCAATTAATAACAGCATAATACTGACACAATGCCATTATTTATTGTACTCCATAATTAGGCAGCGATTTTTCATTGCAAATTAACCCAGCAATTTTTAAGCGCCCACAATATTTGTCATGGCAGTATTGCTTTAAATAATAAACTCAAGACAATATCATGTTATTTTTAGCAACAATTTATATAAGAAAAAAATGCTTATTAAAGAGAACAAATTTGATACTAGTTAAAGCTTGAAAAAAAAAATCAAATTATTAATGAACTGTAAAACAAGGAGGAACAAACTAGTCTTAAGATCAAAAATACACAAAAAGGACCAATCCTCTAAGAATACAAACCAAAGTTAATATATTAGCACATGACTTCAACAAAACATCTTCAAGAGCAATCGACTAATTGAATAGTACAACTTCATCAACCCAAAAGAAGCAACAACTTTTTTTTCCCTTTTATTTTGAATAAATCTTAACAAGTACAGCAATGATCAGAAGTATCGTGACCTTATTTTACCATTTTAGAAGACCTTTGCCGATCATTTCATGAATAAGCATCTCTACTTTATCATTCTCATTTTTCTTCAAAAGAGCTCCCACTAGCGTTCTAAATGTCACCAAATTAGGAAGGCACCCATTCTTTGTCATTGTTGAAAGCAATGCCAATGCTTCACTGCACAAGCCTTCTTTGCAAAGTCCATTCATCATAATGTTGTAAGTACAGACATCTAGATGATTACTTTCAGTCAAAAGGAGTTCAAAGATCTCGTGTGCTAAATTTAGCCTACCACCCTTGCACAGACCATCAATCAATATATTGCAAGTCCACACTGTAGGTTGCATTCCTTGGTTGATCATTTGCTGGTATAATGCAATTGCCTTGTCAAGAAGTTTCATTTTGCAAAATGCATCCAACAAAATATTGTAGGTTATCATATTAGGAACTTGGCCATTAAGACGCATCTCATAAACAAGATCTTGCACATATGAGAATCTCTTAGCTTTGCGCAAGCCATCAATAAGAGAGGTGTAAGTGACTATATCAGGAACCAAATTTTTGCAGCGCATTTCTTTAAAAAGATCTAGGGCTTCATCCACCATTTTTAATTTACAATGTGCATCAATCAACATAGTATAACTACAGACATTAGGTGCGAAGCCATTTTTGATCATCTTGTTGAAAACTTCTCTTGACTCATCAACACTATTCCTCATACAGTACCCATGCATCAAAGAGTTGAATGTAAAAGAATCAGGTTTTAGAGAGCATTTCATCATCTTGGCAAGGACAGATTGAGCTTCTACTATCCTTCCTCTTTTGCAAAATGCATCAACTAGTATATTAAAGGTATAAAGATCAGGAGTGATGTCTTTTAGGGCTATTTCATTTAAAAGTCTAGCTGCTTGTTGCATTTGGTTTACGCTGAGGAAACCATGGATTAAAATGCTGTAAGTTACAATATCAGGACTTAATCCTTGACTGATCATTTCATAACACAATTGAGATGCCTCATTTACAAGCCTTTCTTTACAAAGGCCATCAATGACTGTGCTATATATAATCAAATCAGGCTTAATTTTAATTCTCCGTCTCCCCATCATTTGGAGCAATTTAACAGCACATCTCGTTTTTCCACTCTTACACAGCCCATTAACTAAGGTACCATAAGTTACTACGTTTAAGAAAAATCCTTTTTTCAACAGGTCGTCGTGAAAGTCCAGCGCTTTCCCTACATCTTTCATGCAGAGTCCTTTCATCAACGTATTCATTGTTATAGTATTCGGTCGGTAACCCCACTTGGAAATCTTACCCAATAAAGAGAAAGCAGAAGTCATGTCACCCTCATGACAGTAGCAATTGATCAAAATGGACAGCGTAACTAAACACGGTTTGAATCCATTCAATTCCGCCCGCGCAGCAAGTGAGATAGCAGTTGTGCATTGCTTGGTCTTTGCAAGTGATCCTAAAATCTTATTAATTTCGACAATGGATGGCCGTGGACTCATGGAGAGCAAGCGATTGAACGAAGAAACTGAATCTCGGAGGCTATTAGGGTTACCGGAATGGAAATGTACAAAACGTTGCAGATTAAGAGCGAAAGGGAGAGAAAGAAGGAAGGCAGACGGCGAAGATTGCAGAAAGAGCAGAGATTTGAGGAACCCATACCTTGAAATGGCAGAGGAGAACGACATCTTCAGGTGCAATTCAAAGAAGATTGTTGGATGCAACAACGCTCCTTCAACGAAGGAGAAATGCGAGAAACATATGCTGTTAGATCTGAATCAAAGAAATGAGAGCATGAGAATGCGATCGAGAGAGGAAGCCATCTTTATTTTCAGAGTAGGGCAAAAGCTTGTTTTGTTTTGTTTTGTTTTGTTTTTTGTTTTTGATGAAATAAATAAAATCATACTTACCAAATTTTCTAAATATATTATTAATTAAATTAAAATAATATTAAAATCACTTTTAAGATGGGAAAACTCAAACATCAAATTGAGTTAACTCATGTTCTTAAGGATAAAAATAGAGATGTTGATTATCTAGTTAAGCTATCTTATAATTTAAAAGTTAATTTTTGTCTCTTTGATTATTATTCATATCCTAATTTAAGTATGAAAGATGATAGACTTTTTTGATTTGTTTTTGTTCCTTGATATGTTTTGTGTCCTCTAATTAGTACTGTATTTCAGTTTCCATTCCAAAAAAAGGGGAAAACCCAGACGAATGATATTTTAATCACATTTACAAATATCCAAATTAATCATATCATAGAGGAATTATATAAAAAATTAAGAATAATTAAGATATGTTAATTTTTATTGAAGGCTAATATGAGAAAGTAGTAATAATAGTTTATCATTTCAATAATATAAATCAATTTCAACTCCTTTTCTTAATATTTATGAAGACAATTAAAATGATCTTATATTTTGAATTAGAAAAATATCATATTTTATTTACAACTATGTTGTGTGTTGCACCAGAAACATTAATTAATTAAATATTAATAAACATTCATTACATATATTTTATCTAAATATGTATAATTAATTTTTCTTGCAATTCCATAAAACTTTAAATTATAATAAACTAATCCTGAAATATTCACGAAATTAATAAAGGGATATATTTCAATATTAGCAAGAGCATCAAATATGCAAGTTATGATAACATTTAGAATCCACGTAATGCCTCATATTTTGTGAAATAAATGAAATAAAAATTCATGAAATGGTTTTAGATAATCTAGTAAATAATTCAAATTATATAATGTTATATGAAGACAATTATAACGTCCGTTTGTTTATAATTAAAAAAATTTATATTATTTAAGAATTTTTTAAAAAAATATTATTTTACATTTGGTTACAATAATTAAAATAGTAATTATTAATTACTTATTTTTTATTTTATTATATCTTTCTTAATTTATATTTTATAAAAATAATTTATCATTCTATTATTTTTAAAAGTTGATAATATCTGCATGTATCTTGTCTTTATAATACACTATTTCTTATCTACTATATTAGATTATTTTTAAAAATTACTTTACTCAAAATAGTTTCTTAAAATAATAAAAAATATTTTTGATCATTTTCAAAACTTTAAACAAAAATAAAATAAAGTCATAAAATATATATTTTTTTTAAAAATAAGTGATGTTTTTTCATAAAATAAATTAAAACAAATGAGTCCATGATTCAAAGAAGCATAACACAAAAAGAACAATTCATTTCAATGCTGTCAAATACTTGATGAAAAACTTTCAATAAAAAAGTAAAACACGTTTTTTTTTATGAGAAGAACAAAAATATAAATACTAAATTCAATGATATAAGAACAATCGAAGAGCAAAAATATACATACTAAATTCAATGGAATAAGAACGATCAAAGAACAATTAATTTTCTTTATATCTACAATTAAACTTCCCATGATCTTGCCATACAACAAAAAATCAAGATGAGAAATTATAATTTTTTCACTAAAGATGCAAAAGTCAGATAAACATGAGCAATACAACTTACTGAAATCTATATAATGTAAAAAAAAAAATTAAAACTATTATATTAAAACTTCATCAGGCAACATTCAAGAAGTTCCAGAAAGATTCATACATTCATATTCTTCCATGAAAACAGACAAGTTGAAAAAAAGCAGAGACATCCTAGAAATATCCATACATCTATATCTCTATCCACTAAAAATTAAATAGAGCTTGATGAAAGATGCAAGCATAAAGGCAGCTTTTGGAGAAGCAAGAGTAGCAAAAATATAAGAATTTCCATTTTTTGATGATATTGTTCACCTAAATCTACATGAGATATTGCATGAGCTATCTCTAGGATATAAATATACACACTAATGCAAAAAAACCAAAACAATTTTAGAAACATTTAAATCCAAAACACTTATCCAAATAATTTTTTATTTTAAAATAAAAATTATTTTTTATAAACAAATCAATCACACCTTAATGTGTAAGATTATAGTGATTGTATTTCTTTGTTTTCAAGTCGAAAGAGATCGAATGCATTAATTAATTAGAAAGAAAATTTAAAAAAAAAAGTTAATGCTTAGTATCCTTTAGTGAAATCACATTTGGTTGTTAGGAAAATGGCACAATTACAACACTAACACTGGTGTCTGTTCAAAAAAGAAAAAAAACACTTAACACTGGTGTATGCTACGATCTGTCAATGAGTGAAATTGTAGATTAAAATTGCTTCAATAACCTTTACTCATGTATTTGAGTCAGACAAATCTAAACATTTGATCAAGTTTTGTCACAAATTTGAGAAAAGTCCAACCTTTATAGTTCAAAATCAGGGTGAGGTGAGGATAACATTGTTTTGATTTAATTTGCATCCCATCCCAAACTTGCCACATATCTCCATACAATATAAATCTAATAAATTATCAATGATATGTTTCAAACTTACGACTAAAAGATTGCTTTTCAAACGAAGCATTTGGTCGTTAAGATTTGACATACATAATTCATATAAATAGAACAGATGACCACAAGACACATGGAAGACAAGAAACAGAGATTGAACAGATGATCAGCCTGTCATCAGCAGCTGGACAAAATATCTAATTAATGAATGACAACAACCCATACAACCCAAGTAGATGAAAAGAACTGCATAATTTGCAGCTTGTGAAAATATAGAACGAATGCTCAAAGAACTGAGAAGCAATCAAGACGCTAATACAACTTGAATGTTCTTTCTTATTTGTAGGCCAAGATTATTGCCTCAAATCCTTAACTGAGAAACCATTTTTGCTGGGTGTCCAGTGAGAAACTACCTGAAGAAACTTAAAATTTTACTCAGTCTGAGCCATTTAAATTGCCAGAAATGGCAATCCAGTGACCAGTTCAAGTACTTAAAGACCTGGCCTAGACTATCAGTATCCTCAAATAATCATCAAACAGTGTCCATTAACTAACCTACCCCCAATAATTATGCACCTTAATATTTGTAGAGATAGCTGCTGCCAACATTAATTGGCACCTTGAAGATCGTTTTACTTCCTGAAAGATTGCTAGCGATTAGTGTATTTTGAAATGAATCAACACTTGTCCTAGGGCCATCATAAGCTGGAAGCCGGTGAGCATATAAGCCCTGAAATAAAACGATGAACTATACATATTAGGCAAACTATATACGTCAAATCAGAAGCAAAAGGTGAAGGGCAAACAGTTGCATTATGGACAGGCATTGTCTGAGGCATGTGTATAATGTGTCCCAAGCCAGAATCACAGCAAAGAGTAATAAATAAGACAGCAACAGCAATAAATATGAGAGGAAAATACTTAGGTTTTGATATTAATGAGATGAATAACCGAATCAGATGTAGATGGGGACTCTGATTCTGGCCCAAAACCCTATTTCCTCTAAAAGATGATAAAAAACTCTAGCAACACAGATTACAAGCTTATATACAAGAGTCTCACTCACACTGGCATTTGAAAGGCCAATCTCTCCTTACTTTTCCACTCTCATTCTTCTTGGCCCTCTCTTCCTAAACAAAAGACTACTAATACCTTCAGTGGCTGACACATAGCCCATACCACCCAAAAGACCCCAATCATTACTAAAGATCACAAAATACTGTTCCTTACGGCTATGGACCGAAGGGTAAACTTCTAGACTAGTTCAAGTATTTTCACTAGAGTTATTCTTCCCCTTTGACTTCCTCTGATATGTCTTAGGAAAATAACGGGCCCTATCATCAACCTCCCCTAAAAGCTCTACCTTGTCCTCAAGGGGAAAAGTTGGAAACTGTTTGCAAATTGATTCTGCACATTCCCAAGAGTTCTCAAATTCAGGTAAGCCTTGCCATTTAACCAACACTTCTCGCTGTCCATTCATAAGCCGACACACCTTCCTAATATCTTGAGGCTGCACTTGTAAGTCAAACTCATTAGAAAGCATCGGAGGGATGGTAGGCTGTGCCACAGTAGCTGAAACAGTTTGTTTGAGCTGAGAAACATGAAATACGGGGTGAATGCAGGCGGTGGTTGGAAGTTCTAACTTGTAGGCCACTGTTCCGATCTTCTCAAGAACCTTGAAAGGTCCATAAAAACGTGAGTTGAGATTCTCATTGCTCCTCTTGGCTAAGGTTTAGTCCATAAGGGTGAAGCTTCACATAAACAAAGTCCCCAATCTTAAATTGCATGTCCCGACGATGCTTATCAGCTTGCGCCTTCATTTTACTTTGAGCCTTAGCTAAATTGTCCCGTAATTGTTCAATGATTTGATTTCGAGCTTGAATTTGTTCATTCACATCTTCCACAACTGAAGGTTTGCCACTAAATTTTTGAAATGTAGGTGGATCCCAGCCATATACCGCCTTAAAAGGTGTCATGCCAGCCGCATTGTGGAATGAAGTATTGTACCAATATTCAGCCTAAGACAACCATTTAGCCCATTGAGTTGGTTTTTCATTAGCAAAACAGCGCAAGTAAGTCTCCAAACTCCTATTTAACACTTCCGTTTGTCCATCCATTTCCGAATGATACGATGAGCTAAGGAAAAGTTGGGTTCCAGCTTGCTTTAACAATTCTTGCCAAAATTGGCTAATGAAAATTTTGTCTCCGTCTGAAACTATAGTTTTAGGGAAACCATGCAACTTCACAACCTCATTCACAAACTTTTCAGCAACATCCTTTGCAGAAAAAGGGTGGGCAAGAGTGAAAAAATGAACATATTTGGTGAGTCTATCCACTACTACTAGAATGGTGTTGTACCTTTTTGATTTAGGAAGCCCGGTAATGAAATCCATGCTAATGTCTTCCTAAATGTTTTGAGGGATGGCCAACGGCTGTAACAGAGCAGCAAAAGT